ACCAAGAATATTGATGTATGATGTTACTCACAAAATCAATGCCCATCATCCTCAACATGCTTGATAACCTTAGTTAATGCTCATCGCCATCACAAATATTAAACCTCAATATTGCCACTAGCTTGATACCCAACATTGCCAACAAGGTAGCCATTTATAGTCATTAATAAGTTCAAAACCCGACATCATAAATAAAGCTGATGCTTGATGTCATAACGACATTGATGCCTAATGTCATCAGCAATGCTAATGTCCTGTGTTGCCACATTGGCCAACGCTTGGCTTTGCCACCATCCTCGATACTTATCATTATTATCAATAATGCTAATACCCATCTTCCTATTAAGCGATCTTCGTTTTATGAAGAGAGTGATTAAACATATTACCTATCATATTTGATGTCAACCCTAACACATACTTACCCTAAATAAAAGTCAATCTTCCATAATCCATATCTATGTTGCATTGAAGAATTCTCTAGTTATAATGAAGTGTATTACTTATTATACACTACACAAGTTCTATTGTTTTTCCTAATTTTGAAATAAATAATACAGCAAATAAGATTTCATTTCATTTGAGACGATTTTTTTTGTTATTTCTTAAAGCAGTTTAATAGTATAAATTTAAATTTTTTATTAAAAAATTACTTTAAAAAACAGAAAAAAACCGTTCCAAATGAATCATAAGCTTATCTTTTCACGGATTAGATATTTAAAAAACCTTCTTTCAACAAAAAGAAAAATCTTCTTTTTAATACTTTTTCAACATAAAAAAATAGATAATCAATACAATGTGATATCAATCACATATTTTCTACCAAGGAGTTATATCCAAAATAAATGTAGAAAATAAAGTGCTGAAAGAAATGAAATTAGAAAGAACACATCAGATTTACAATGGTTCGGTCCATCCTAGCCTACATCTACTCCTCGGAGGCATCCTCCAAGTATTGCACTAAACCTTTAGTGACTCTACTTTAGCCCCCATAACAAGGAGGAGAAGTCCTTACAAAATCACTTCCACCTTTCCCAATGTGGCAGAGTAATCACGTCCTTTGACACCAAAGATTTCTTCTTTTTTTCAAAACTTCCCTCAAGACAAACCTTTAATCCGATGATACTAAGGTGCTAGCTTGCTAGAGCAACCATGTGAAATCCCCTCCACACTCCCTTGAAAACCCCTCTAAGGATCTTCTCCCTCACAAACTCCACCATTTTCTCTCTCCCTTTCAAGTTCTCTCTTCAAGTTATCACCAGAAGAATGAACACACAATGGCTACCAAATACACTTACCGAATGCCTTGACAAAGCTTAAATAGTGGACTTTAAAAAACCTTAAAAATAAATTATGGCACCAAAGATCGTCCAATACAATAACATGATTTTCCAGTATGATATGCTTGAATAGAGGGCTTCAAAAACATTAAAAAACTTAATGCATTTTATCACTAGTAAAGTTGCACTAGTGCCACTAATGCCTTCTGTCTCCTCAAACCCAAATGTCTGACATCATAGAAATAATTGATATTTAACCTCACCAAGAATATTGATGTATGATGTTACTCACAAAATCAATACCCATCATCCTCAACATGCTTGATAACCTTAGTTAATGCTCATCGCCGTCACAAATATTAAACCTCAATATTGCCACCAGCTTGATACCCAACATTGCCAACAAGGTAGTCATTTATAGTCGTTGATAAGTTCAAAACCCGACATCATAAATAAAGCTGATGCTTGATGTCATAACGACATTGATGCCTAATGTCATTAGCAATGCTAATGTCCTGTGTTGCCACATTGGCCAACGCTTGGCTTTGCCACCATCATCGACACTTATCATTATTATCATTAATGCTAATACCCATCTTCCTATTAAGCGATCTTCGTTTTAAGAAGAGAGTGATTAAACATATTACCTATCATATTTGATGTCAACCCTAACACATACTTACCCTAAATAAAAGTCAATCTTCCATAATCCATATCTATGTTGCATTGAAGAATTCTCTAGTTATAATGAAGTGTATTACTTATTATACACTACACAAGTTCTATTGTTTTTCCTAATTTTGAATTTTCACATAAATTTTTTTTTCAATTTGAGTGATTTTTTTAATAATATTTGGATGAAGAAGTAGCAATATTTTTTTCTTTTATGTGTGAAAACTTTGTGTTTGGATTTGTATGTATGCTATGTAATTTGATCACGGGCATGATAATTTTTTATATTTAAAGTATATATTTATTTAATATATTTTTTAT